TGGGCCGGCCTCCTACCTGCTGGTACCTACGGGCCTGGACCGTTGATCTGAATCGACGGTCCAGCTTCAAACTGGTTTGGCGCCTAAACTGTGGCAGCCTCTGAAACGCTGCCGGTAGGTCCTAGGCTGGACCGGTACCGGCCTTGTGGCCGTTTGGCCTAGGCTTGCCCAAACCGCCGTGGTCCAGGCCCTTCTGGGCTTCATCTGAATCGTCGTCCCTTAGGCCTCCCGTGCCTGTCTGGAACCGGGCCCTAACAGGGGCCCGTGTGGCTCAGAATGCCACAACGGCTTTGAGAGCAAAAAATGATTCCCCCACATCCTCTTTGAAGTCAAACGGTCGATCCTCACATTGAAGCTTGGTCAAGTGGGCCGTGATCTTCGGGTATCCCTTGATAAAACATTGGTAGTCGCCGGCAAGGCCAAGGAACGAACGGACATCCGTGATGTTCCAAGGCTCCGACCACTCTTGGATGGCTTGAATCTTGTGCGGCAATGGGCCGATGCCCTTCGGTGTGACAAAATGGCCCAAGTATTCCAACTCTTGTCGAACAAAGTCACACTTGTTGCGGTTGGCTTTGTACTTGGCGCGGCGGAGCGTCTCCAACACTCGTCGAAGGTGCTCAAGATGATCCTCCAATGTCCGGCTATAGACGAGAATGTCATCAAGCAGACTAGCACGAACCGGTCCAACATCGCACGAAACTCGTTGGTCATTGCCGCCTGAAAGATCGCCGGGGCATTGGTGAGGCCAAAAGGCATGACCACCCACTCAAAACGCCCATATCGCGTCTTGAATGAGGATTTATAGCGATCGTTCGGCCGGATTGAAATCTGATGATATCCCGACTTCAATTCCAACTTAGAAAAGTACTTTGCGCCACCCACTCGCTCAAGGAGATCGTCAATACGAGGAAGAGGCCCCGCATTCTTGACGGTTTGCGCGTTGAGCTTCCGAGGTAGTCGATGCACAATTGTAGATCCTTGTTCTTCTTCCATACGAAGAGAACTGGTGCTCCATATGGGGAGTTACTAGGGCGGATCCAGCCCTTGTCCAACAAGTCATCGAGTTGTGCGCGGAGGACCGTAAGCTCCTCCTCGCTCATGCGGTAAATGCAGCCTTTCGGCGGCACGACACCGACCTCAAGAATGATCTCGTGAGAGATCGGCCGATCCGGCACCACACCGGTAGGTGACTCGAAGATGTCGGTGAACTCGTCAAGCAACCGCACCACACGGGGGTCCGACGACAAGTCTGTGGGGGAAGAATCGCCTACCACGTCGGTCCGTAGGAAGCATAGGCCTATCTCATCGGGCTTCTCGTAAGCGCAAGTAGCTCGGAACGACTTGGCCGTCACCACTTGGCACCGGATCGAAGGGTGCGGAAGAGGAATAGTACACGGCACTTCGGCGCCGAAGGCGTCCCGAACAGTAAGAGTCCGCCGGTGGAAGTTGACCGTGTGATCCACACTTGCAAGCCAAGGCATTCCCAAAATGATACCAAAGTCCGTGTCCAAAATGTTGAATGTCACCGGTTCGCATGCATGAGGTGCGAAAGACACCGGTACAGCCTCGATGTAACGGTCGATAAGTTGTTGCGTCCTTCCGTCCGCCAACTTGATCACCGTCGGGTTTGCCTTCCTCCAAACTTGTGCGCCAAGGCCAACCCTTTGCATAAAGGCTTGGCTCATGAAATTGCGAGACGCGCCGCTATCCAGCAAAGCGCTGCAGGACGCTTGCTCAACTTGGATGTGGACATAGAGGAGCGGTGCGTTGTTGTCATCGTACCGCTGCTTGCGAAACTCGCGGGCCACCTTGGTAACATACGCAAGGATGTCCCCCACCGCAGCTTCGTCATCCGTCGGCAAAGTTGGTGGTGCATAGAAGGATAAATACGTGTGGAGATGAGCGCATAATGCTGCGCATTGTGGTCCCGACAAGCGGCCCCTGGTCGGGAGAGGAAGCCATGCGAAATCCTCTGACGTGAGCGGGTCCAGCACCTCTATGTTGAACTCGCGCGCCGAATCCCGTGAAAAACCAAGACGATAAGTTGCCGCTGCCGGACGAAGAAGATGCCGCACACACGTCTTGTCCTTGAGCATGAGTACCCAGCGTAGGAACGAGCCGGGCAACATAGTCCTCATAAGAATATAGAAGAGGAGGACTATCGACTTCCGCATGTGCCTCGGAACGAAGGGCGGTCACCCGCGAAGCGACCGGTTCTGAAGGCGTCGAGAGTGTCGTCGATTCACTCCTGGCGGTGCTAAGTTTCCCGATTTGACTTTGCCTTTCGACAGGCAGGCCACTGTGTCGTGGAGATCGTTGTTACACCACAGACAAAAGCGGAATCTCGTGCATAGCTTGTACGCACGTTCAGAGAGACCGTAGTGGGACCATGGGGCTGGAGCTGCTGCGTCGGGCCTGGGGATAGATGTGGTGTTTGTCTTCGTCTTGCCACGTCCTCGGCCTTTGCCGGGGCGACCACCATCTCGGGCGGCTGCGAGTCTGTCCCATTCATTGGCAGACACGACCTCGTTAGAAGGGTCGGTTGGCGTTGCCGCCGCGACCACGGGCACTTTCGGCCGATGCTGATCTCTGCTTGGGCCCGTCGCAAACGAACGGTTGAGGTTTTTAGCCTCCTTGTTCGTGACAATGATCCGCACGGCCTTGTCGAAGAGCTCTTTTGTTGTCGTCAGGGTGTCCTCGACGTGAGTCAAGGCATTGCCCAACGCCGGACACGACCTCGAGATGAAGTAGTTTTTGACGGCCTTGAAGCCCATCTCAATGTCTGGGACGGATGTCAAGCGTTGGTACTCGGCAATCTAGTCAACACTCGGCAGCGTGCCTTGTTCGAAGGTCATCAATTTGTCCATTGCCTTGATCTCCGGCGGCTCTACTTGGAACCGCGTATGCCACACCACCTTTAGATCATCCCAACTGATCTTGGTGTATAAGTCGGCAGCTACCACCCCGTACTTGGACAAGAGATTGTCCAACCATGCTTGGCACGCGCCCCCCGGACGGGAGTATAAGTACATGTGATGCCTGTGCTCACTGACGTGGTGTAGCTGCAGCTTGAGCTCGAACTTGCGGAACCACGGAATCGGGTCCGTCTTCGTCGAATCGCAGAAGATCTCCTGACCATCGAACTTTGGAGTCGTCTCGCCCGGTGCCGAACTCGGTGTGGTGGCGGCAGCACAGATCTGCTGCTCCAGTTGTTGCGTGGCGGTAGCACAGATCCGCTGCTCCAGTTGTTGCGTGGCGGTTTGCTGTAGCTGCGCGTCGTCCTTGAGGGTTCCAACGTTGATCTCCAACGCATTGAGGCGATCGGAGGTGTTGGAGGAGCTGGCATCGGGGGCGGCGACGGGTCGTTGCTCCAGCTGCTGGAGGCGGCTGTTGACTTGATCAAACGCCTGGTTGTGCGTCTGAACCGCGTCGCCGAGAGTGTGGATGTCCTCCTGCTGTGCAATGCACATTGCCAGGAGATCCGTGAAATGGGAGAGGAGTAGAGCGATCTTGCTTTCACTCTCTTCCATCTTATACCATTCTCGGCCTAAGCCCGCCAGTCCGCTGCCATTGTAAACAAGGCTCGCTCTCCGTTGAATATCTTCTCGCGTCGTTGAATTCATTTTTCATCGGCAGCCTTTGCCGATGCCTCGTCTTGCTGGTGCTGCTCTTCGATTGCCAACAGACGTGCCTTCTCGGCGTTCTCTGCCTTCTTTTTCTCTGCGGCCGCTACCTCATCTGCCCGTTTCTTGGCTTCGATAATCAAAGCCAGCATCCGGGCCTGATAGGCCTCGGCCGTTTCCCAACTTCTGATCCATGCCGGTTGTTTGTAAGCGCGTGCGCATAGACCAGGCCGGAGGACTGCTGACATGGCACTCCCTGCTGCTGACGTGGCCCTGCTCGGCTGCTGACGTGGCGCGGTTGTCAGCTGACGTGTCCTGCTGATGTGGTCTGCTGACATGGTCTGCTGACATGGCCTGCTGAAGTGGTCTGCTGACGTGGCCTGCTGACGTGGCAACTCACCAATGCCGCTGCAGGGGGTACCCAGAGATAGATAGAGAAGACCAGAGGGGGCAACAACATAGGTGGGGAGGGGTGGGTGGAATAAATCGCCCAGATAAGGAGCCACTAATCAAAAAACGAAAGTTTGAACTTTTGCAGAGAAAAAAATTCGAGAAATTAATAAAAATCCCGAGTTTTGGAAGTTCAGTAGGTCTCCCAATCTCCCTTGAAGTGCGAAATTACCAATGAGAAAGAAAAAATCAAACTTTCAGACTGCAAATGATTATCAGATAGTGAAAATCATAGAACCGCAAGTAAAAAGAATTCCAAAAAATAAAAATAAAAAAAAATCGGAATTACTCAGATGAGAGTACGCACAATTTGGAAAATGGTACTTGCAAGAGGGATTTCCCATACCGTTTTCAAAAAAACGAATTTCGGAAATTCAAAATAACGGGAAATTGCAAAAGGAAATCAAAATTTTTGAAAAAACAATATTCCGGATTTCCAACAACGAAATTTTGAATTTTCAGAAGAAAAACGAAAACAGAAATTTCAGGTGTTGTGCTATTGCGATTTTTCACAACAGAAATAGCAGGAAAACAAAATCCAAGAAAAGAAAAAAAATTCGGTTTTCGGCAGTGAGATCAAAATCGTGATTTTGGGGGCTAATTAGTATGCTCTAATCAATCAAACCAATTAACTACTTTAGTCCTCGCACACGTGTTAGATCAGGTTGTCCTGATTCACGTGCGGTGTCCCGATACCAACTGTTACACGCCCAGTCGGGCGGTGTACATACATAGCCAAGGATCCGCAATGTGATGAAAAGGACTGAATGGACAATGCAGTGCTAGTAGAATCTCAACAAGCAGTGTACATCCTGATACATACAAAAATGGTGCTTTGTAGCGCAGTGGAAGACTTAGATATAAGTCCTGACCTGACCGGGACTGACCTCCCTCATGGAGTACAAAACAGCGTAGCGAAATGCTAGAATACCAATGACTAGCCCAATCAATGTCGCAATGCGGACCAAACATACATCATCCTCGTCACAAGGTGTGAAGGGGCCTGGCGCTACACACAGGAAGACTGCGCCAGGTCCAGACCATACACAGACGAAGAGGAGGAGATCAGATAAAGAAGAGGGGGAAGATGGGAATGTCGTTAACACCAAGTCTTCGGTACAAGTCCCAGATAATCCCTCGTCAAATGTCTGAAGCCCAATGTCGAGTCTGGATCCAAATGCCACCAGTCCTCTCTCTCGCTCATAGTCTGCTGAGGCCGAGAAGTCAGATAGTGAGAGGGTGAGGAAGAGATGGTGGACTGAGAGGAGGAAGAAGAAGAACTCTCTCTCTCGCTCTCTGTCATGTGCCAGGTACTAACCTCTGAATGTGGCACCGTGCTGCAGGTACCTCGAAGACGAAGCTGGAGCTATGGCGCTGCAGGTAAGTCTCCCTTGCCTCCGCCCAATCTCTCTCTCTCCAGTGCTACTCTAACTCCTACTAGCGCCCAGCACTGAAGGCTACTGCTAACGCTACTACTACTATTGCAGCGCTCCTCCAGCGTGCTGCTGCCGAATCCTGAAGACTACCTCCTGCCTCCTGAAGTGCCTGGGAAGTCCCTATGAACTACCTGCAGCCTGCAGGACAGGGCCAGTCTTATATAGTGCTGGCCCGTCCAGGAGGCTGCTCTTGCCAATGCCAAAACGTGCCAGACCCTGACGTTGAAGCTCAACCAAAGGTTGTCTTGAAAACAGGCCCAAAATGGCCTGTGCTAAAACCCTGGTCTGGTGCCTAAGTTTCAGGGCAGGTCGATCTTATGAGGGCCTGAAAATGGCTCTCCATTTCAGGCTGAAAAGACTCAGGGCCTGGAGGGCCCTGTTTTAGGCTGAAACGACACAGAGCCTGTAGGCCCTTGTTTTCAGGCTTTCAGGCTGAAACAACACAGGGCCTGTAGGCCCTTGTTTTCAGGCTTTTAGGCTGAAAACGACACAGGGCCTGTAGGCCCTTGTTTTCAGGCTTTTAGGCTGAAAACAACACAGGGCCTGAAAATGGCCCTCGTTTCAGGCGCAGCATGTTGCAGGCGCAGCATGTAACAGTCGCCTTGCCAGTCCTGCTGGCCCAGCTTGAACCTTGCGTTCAACAGCACTCACGTGTCCCCTCCCCAGCTTACTCGCCCTCTCAAAATCACATTCTCCAGCATTACACCCGCAACATAACACAGCAAACACTCATCCACCCCTCTCAAGCTCCCCTGCTCAAACTCCCCCCCTCTCAAGCTCCCCCGCTCAAACTCTCCCCCCTCACGATCTTCTCACAAGATCTAACACCCACGTTACTCTCTATCACCATATAGCAAGCACACTCCGTAGAAAGGAGGTCATAGCAACACCTCCTCCCCATCACCACCCACTGTCAGAAGGAAAAAGGAAAGAAAGAAAAAGAAAAAAAAAACCCACTGAATCTGCTGCCCCCGCTCTCTTGCACCAGCTTGATTTTCCCCTCCCCTCCCTCCGCACGAGTCCTGAACTGCCCTTTATACGCCATCACGAAATTTCTCCGAGCCAGATAACTTTCGATAACGAACAAGACACTGGCATCCCAGAACACAAAACACTGACTCGCGGCCGTGCATGCAAGGCAGAAGCCGCCCATCCCACCTCAGAACACGTGGCCAATCAGTCCAGACAACTGGCAGAATTAACATCCAGTAAACAAGCAGCGAGCAGATCACACCGGAACACGTAGACTAGAAGAAGAAAAAAAAAAAGCCAGACAACTCCAAAAAGGTACAGCGTGCTTGCCTAAGACTAACCAATTTAACAACGGTAAAACATAATCACATCACTCAGCTAAACACCCAGTAAACGCAGACATGGCCCACACTTACCAACGTCGGTTTAGCATGGTAGCAGCGACAAAGGCAGCTGCCTCAAAGACCCCCGCCCATATTTCTTCCAATGAGGATCACGAGACACTGCGTTTCCTCTTGGAAGCTCCACAAATCTAGGGCGAAAAAATCACAATCAAAGTCAGGAACATCAAGGACATTACCGATGAAGAAGTGACTGCTTGGACTTATCTGAAAGACAAGATGGCCGACACTAATGTGACCTTCGAAAAACACGCGCTCATTTTCTCCTTTTCCAATGCTGGAGCGAGAGTCTCCCCAGTTGAAAAGAGGAAGTGGATAGTGAAAACCATTCAGGAGCAGGAAAACATCAAAACTAAGGTCGACAAGTTCTCCCTGCTAGGCCTGGGCAGATGCATGATGATGGTAGTGTTCAAAGACGCCAACCAAGCAACACACCTGCTGGAGAAATGCGAGACGATGAACTGCAACGGCTCGGTCTGTACCCTGTCACGCTGGAAATCGGAAACAGCACAGCGAGCAGAAGTATCGCCTGCCGCTTCCTACAAACAGTGGCTGAAGAGGGAACAGTTCTAGGTACAATTTGACAACATTCCCGCCAGAGGACACCCCCTGATCAAAGATCGACTGGAAGTGGAATACCCAGGTAGCAAAATCCTGAAGTGCGTCCTCCCAATGCCCGACTTCCTTGCTCCCCATTGCGACTCAGCCACTGTCATTCTGGAGGTTCTGACGGATGAGTCCCCAATCTTCCCAGAAGAATGACAATGTCTCATTGGAGGCAAAGTCACCGCTGTAACAGTCTTGACCAAAGCGTCATCAATCTGCTTCAGATGCAGAGCCAGGGGCCACCTAGGAACGGATCCCAAGTGCCCGCGCTCCACCGAGCAGAAGAAACTGAGACAAAACATGCTAGTAGAAGTGGAAGAAGCTAAAGGGATCTGGTTCGTCAATGACCCAGACTACCACAGCTGGGTCTTCGACGACAGCATCCCAGACCTCAAATGGATTTGGACCTACAACAACACTTCCCCGTCAATCAAACATGCCAGACATTTTCCCTCCCTCAGACAGCAAGTGGCACCACGTGAAAGCAAAAAAGATCACTAGGATACCAGGGAAAATTCACTCGGACCCAGTGATTGACTCCCGAGTGATCAAGGAGGAAAAGAAACACGAAGACTCGATGTGGGACATGGAATCAATCAGACAGCAAACCACAAGCTCATTCTCCACCCAGAAGACTACAACAGCATTCTGGATGCAGCCAAAGAGATCATTGAGAACCGCAACACCCTGACCGACCCCTCTCTCAAACAATAGGCCTCCCCTCAAAAGAGAGACAATGATGAGCTGAGCAGGAAGAAGAAGAGGAAAGGCAACACAGCCAATGGCGACAGCGACCCCTCAGGGGAACAGGTTCCACATACCATAAAGTTGGGATCTGATCCTGATCCAAAAACAAATCAGGATCCGACCCCGAATGGAATGGACATCTGCCCCCAAAAAAAATTGAACACCGCGATCCAAGAAGACAAGGGAGAGTTCCCCCTCGAATGGCTTAAGCCTTAAAGTATACCTCGAAAAAGCTAAAAACGAGACGGAAAAGGAATTCGACATCAGGATGCCATGCGTGAAACACCAGGAAAAAAACACGGAGGAACAGCAAGTCGATGGTGGCAGGAATTCAA